AAAGAGTTCATGTGTTTCTCCACTGGGTATGCCTACAATTCAGGAATAGCAGCTGTGCAGTGATGTCTGTAAAATACATTAGGCTACTTTCGTTTTGGGGGAGGAAAGATGTATTTTCATAGAATGAAAAAAATGAGAGTATGTCTATTGAATATCTAGGACCTTTTGCTGAATTCCATTTTTGATTGCTGTTTAAAACACCTCCCAACAGAAAAGACCTGCCTTAATTTTTCCCTGTCTGAAGACCAGGGCTTCATTTGAATGAATGAAAATTCATTCCTATTAAAGGAAATGCAAAATAGTCCTCTGTTTAAGAAAGCTTCAGGGATTCTCGCCAGCCAGAATACATATCTGTTCTAAAAGTGTGTAAGTCTTTGTAAATGAGCCAAAGAAAATTAGCTAAATATAATTCCCCTCTAAATGAACATAAGAGCACCTCTATCTGTATCTTGAACAAGATATAGTGAAGACTGAGAAGTGATTAGTTTGCTAGTAGTAAATGTAAGGCCTTCCCTACCATTAGCAGAAGAGAGAAGGTTGTCACATGCAGGAGATTGTGGGTGTTATAATTGAGCAGCAAACTTTTATTTACTTTGATATCATTGTATGTTTATGCCAAGGATTGAGACAGGGTGTTTATGGGATTTATTTACCAATTGTATCAAGCTACCTTGGCTGGTTTTGAGTAATATGCACCTTAATTTAGGAGAAACAAGATGATACATTGATGCAAGATGATACATTGATTTAGAGATTACTGAGAATACCTTTGTTAGTTCTTATTTGACGCTTTAATCAGTGCCTGTTCTCAGGGCAGCAAAATATCTTGGGCCAACTTTGAGGAGAAGCATCAATTAAAACATAAAATAAGAACTAAAAAAGATATTGTCAGTGGTCACTAAATCAATGTCTCATCTTCTGAAACAATAGGAAATCTTTGGTGAGTCAAGAATTACAGCAGAAGCCAGCAATTGCATTCCCGAACACTTCTTCCTTCTCATTAATTGCATAATGCCACTGCTATACTGTCATCGAAGCTACCAACATGAATTTGACCAAACTCCGGGAGGCAGTGGAAGACAGGAGGGCCTGGTGCACTCTGGTCCATGAGTTCACAAAGAGTCAGACACAACTTAATGACTAACCAACAACAACTGCTATACTGGTATGGTAAATCCAACTAAACTTTACCTTGGCTTAGTGGCCATCTGGATTCAAATTCTCATTCAGGTTTCAAAGTCAGCCTCCCCCAGCATGGTGTGCTCTAGGTGCTTCAAACTGCTCACTCCCAGTGACAACATAGCCTATGGTGAAGGCTCATGGGAGTTCCTGTTTAAAATATGTGAAGGGTACAAAGTTGAAGAAGGCTGGCTGAAATCATGGGGCTGGTTGGTAGCTGGAACAAAGATCTTCCTAGTTTGTTATAACTAGAATGTGCCATATTTGTGTCATTTCCACAGGGGGTGCCTGTGTTTGATTCACTCAAAATATGGTGTTGGAGGAGAGTTTCTCAAGCGATATGAATTGTATTAGGTCTAGACTCTACCAAGATGGTGCAATTCATGCGTCCCACTAAGACAAGCCTCAGTGTCTATGTGTGTTAGTTAAGGCTAGGGGTATCTTTCCAATTTCTGCACTTTATCTAACAATAGGGAAATATTTGTTGACACTATAATATTTTCAGTAGCAAAGCTCTAGATCTGTCATTCCCAATGTTGGGTCCACTTGGACTACAACTCCCAGAAATCCTGGCCAGCCCAGCTATTGGTGAAGGCTTCTGGGGACTCAAGTTCGGAGGCCACTGCTCTAGATGAAGCAAAGAGAGCTAATTCCACATAAAGCCAGAAGACAGTGTTTAAAGCAGGCCGAAAGGGATGTAGACAGACAGAGAAAGAGAAAGAGATTGAAGGTGAGACTACATTGACAAATGCAAGGATTGGGATGGTCTGATTTGCGTTATTTTCCATTGACTACATGGCATAAAAGTCAGTGCAAATCAGCCTGGAGTAGAAGAAGCTGAATAAACCAGACCAGAGGGCAACATTCAAAGGAAAAAGCAAGTGAGTGGGAGAGGCCACGTAATAGAGAAAACAGACAAAGAAACTGCGAGGGAGAGAGGAAGGGAAGGAATAAAGTTGAGAGGCCAATATTGGGGGAGAAGGATAGCTCCTCCACACAGTTGATGGTGAAGTCATCTCAGTCTGAAGACATTTCAGCAGCATGTAGGGAGATAATCTGAGGCCTGCCCAGTCAGACCATTGATCTACCTAGCTCAACATTGTTTCCAGGGATAAACGGCATTTCTCCAGGATCTCAGGCAAGAATCCTTTGCCAGTCAAACCTGGAAATTCTCGACAGTGAATCTGAGACCTCCTGTATGCAAACCATGTGCCCTGTTATTGAGCTATGGGCCCCTAGTGCACCCCAAAATTTCAAGTGACCATTTGGTGCCAATAGTACAGCATTCGGCAGGTACCACTGCTTAGATAATGCCTCAAAATTTCTGATTTTCCATATGTACCTGTAAATGAATATATAGAATTTAATGCTATTCAGTGTCCTCACTGTATGTTTTGTTGATTCATGTTTTCTTTTCTGCTGGCATGTAAGCAACGACCCTACGATTCACTTTTCTTCATCTGGGGAGCATGGAGAAAAGGCCTTCTCTTGAAACTCCCTGTTTTCCTACCTTACAACTCAAGCTCAGCTTCAAGCCTCCCTGTCTAGTTTAGTTGCAGCATCCCAACATGTCTGCACACAAGAGAGATGAGGGAAATGGAGAGAGGAAGACAGGTCTGCTATGCAACGTTTCACTATAAAGTTCCAATCTACCTCCAGAGGCATGAATTGGGAAAAAGGTTTCTTATCACACCACCTGTGACAATTGGCTTATCTTGTGCCAGAATGTTTGCAATGTTACAAGAGTTTTTCCAAGGGGCCACAATACAATTCTCAGTGTTTGTACTTTGTTCACAAAAGAAGCAAACAAACAAAAAAACCCACAATGCTATGAATCAGCATGGGATTTAATCCTCTTGTTAAATGCGTCTTTTCAAGAAGGTGTTAGACAACAAAGCAACTTATTTTTTAAAAGTTTACAATCTCAAGGATGGACAGGTATGGGATGAAGAACATTTTTCATCTCTAGCAACGCAATGTTCCATGGGACCATTTCAACAGCAGCATAGACGCAGGATATAGAGGATGCACCTCATTTTTGAGATAAAAAGATATTGCTCTCAGTGCTACACAAATGCAATTTCTGGCCAACAGAAGTACAGTTTCTGTAGAAGCAACACTTGTGTTTCTCTCATTTTATGTAGCACTGATTATACTGCTGGTATAGTTACTTCCTTTGCTTTGATCATAGTTATTTCTAGGACTACAATAACTGCAATTACAACTGATACAAAATAAAAATAAAGCCAGCAGTGTTCGGTGATCATTATTATTGCTTGCAAATGTACTCGAGGTCAGAATTTATAGATAAGATTGCTAGAAACCATATTTAGATTCCGAAAACCCAGAATGGCCTTAAACATTGTCCTTTCAGTGCTTTTAAGTTTATACCTCAAATTAGGAGAGATCATAGTCCTTAGTGTGGAATTGTCATGGACTCTGCTGACATCTCAATGGCCAAAATTCTCTTACATAGTTATGCAACTAGCATAATATTTGGAGGCAAATTGCCTCAACTTAAGAAATCACCATACACATCTGTTGCATGCTGAGTCACGCCACTCGGTACATAACAAATAATTACTCATGGTGACTTCTTAATCAAGGCAATTTGCCTCCAAATATTGTCATTTGTGTTATGCTGGCATAACTAGGCAAGAGGATTTTAGCTAATCTCACCAGCAGAGTAGGGATGCTTAGCTAGTTTGAAGTGGAAAAGGTGACATCTTTGGTTCACACTAGCTCCCTAAGGAAATCCATAAGTGACTGAAATGTAACACCTGGTAAATTTTAGAATCAATTGATCAGGCTGTTGTTTGTATTTGTTTCTTCAAACATGGGCTAAGGTCAGTTAAAATATAATGACTGGAATCCTGTTACATATTTATGCTGACATAACGGCACTGGTAGGGACGTGGTGGCGCTGCGGGCTAAACCGTAGAAGTCTTTGTGTGCTGCAGGGTCAGAAGACCAGCAGTCGTAAGATCGAATCCACGTGATGGAGTGGGCTCCCGTCGTTTTGTCCCAGCTCCTTGCCAACCTAGCAGTTCGAAAGCATGTAAATGTGAGTAGATAAATAGGTACCACCTCGGTGGGAAGGTAAACAGCATTCTGGGTCTAAGTCACGCTGGCCACATGACAACGGAAACCGTCTTCGGACAAATGCTGGCTCTACGGCTTGGAAACGGGGATGAGCACCGCCCCCTAGAGTTGAACACAACTGACTAAAATATCAAGGGGACCTTTACCTTTACCTTAACTGCACTGGTATAAAACTCAGCTGCCTTTTAAGAAGTTAGTATTTCTGGTCACATGCCAAGTTATGTGACTGCAGAATGACAATTAAAAACAGCATCAGCTTCTTCACTGGTGGCAATTCACTGCTGAAATTTACACCAATGGAGTTATGCTGGCAGTTATTACTGAAAAATTCTGGCCCTGTATTTTCACAGTGTGCCTTACTTTCAAAGTAGGTTTTGTGCTGCACTTTACATAGAGCATCAGTTCTATCTATAAAGGTACCCTCTCTTTGAAGGACAATCCAGTCTAAGTCTGGTGTAAACATAAAGAACTCTTAACTAAGAACAGCCGGGGCCTTAAAGCTGGCAACTGGTCAGCAGTTAACATCTAAAGAGCAGACTGGACAGGCACGTCACTTACTTGGCTGGTCTTTTCCACTATGGTGAGATGTAAGGCTTTTCTATTTAAATCACAATAACTCTTTCTATGTAGAAATCTGTATGTGCACACTTATGTAAATCTAGCCAGAATCCTGTTGATTATTTACATATACAGTATATAAGTTAAACTGCGTAACTCACTGTGGCTAATTGCTGCTAACGAAGTCCTGGTTGCATCACATGTTGTGTGCTTAAGTGCACAGTAGGCAGGCACCTAGGAATGGAACCAGCGATTTGTTAGTAAGTGATCATTTGCTGTAGTGAGTTATGCAGTGTAACTTATGCCCATATAAACTAGCAACAGGATTCTAGCTGCTGTGCTCCTCAGTAGAAATCTGAACCGGTGGTTCTTGATACAATGGGAAATGGATGAAGATCTTTTGATGTACTTCCATATCCAGATCAAACACCAGTGGAATTATAACTTTTCTTTCATTGTTTCAAACCCCCATGTACCAAAAATAATGCCACATGGCACACTTTCATGCAGGTTTTCGAGATACACAAGAGACTGCACAAAAAGTGGGGTATCTCCTATTCTGGCAGAAGCAGTGGTATGTTATGGGGTCCTGTCCAGCAGTCTTGAAATACTGATCAGTCATGCCGTTTCCAGGTCCTTAAGCCTTTGGAACTGACATATTAAAAAAACTGATCTTAAGAATGTTTAGTGGACTTTCTTACTAGGTAGAGATTTCTTTGTAGATCTGATGCTGAAAAAGGCTTAGCCACGTAGGCTAAGTTGAAGGGTGGTGGGGGGAGGGAGGGAAGGGGCATTGAGAGCCAGATCTGTTGGCTGAAGCACAGTTCACATCCCTTTTAAGGAAAGGAAATGCTGGCAAGTTTGAAACGGAGAGGCTGGTGTCCTTTTTCACTTTTGCAAAGAAAGGGGAGGAGGATGAGCATGGAATGACAGATACTGCGAGCAAACTACTCACACCCACTGGAGCAAAAGCAGAGGCAATGGGATTTGAATAAAATGTGTACGTATTCTGTTCACACTCACCCACCCTGCACATTTTCTTCCCATGCCATGGAGCTCTTACTGCTGAATTCTTCTGTCCCCCTCCCTGCAATAATTCCTAACCACATTTTTTTTCCAAAAAGCAAAGTGTTTATCTTTACCGTTTTTCACTCCTCCCTCTCTCCTCCCCCTGCTCCCTTACAGCTGACCCACATTGCTTTAACAGACCACAGACTTGGTTTTGCCAGTGAGAAGCCAGTTGCCCAGACAGGGCCATGAGGTTCTAATTAAGATCCCTCTTCGAATTTAAGGAGCAGGGCAGTAGTTTTTTCAAAAAGGTTTGAAGCAACACCAACACAGGAACTTTTGTAAAAGTTAATGATTTGATCCAGAAAGAAACCCCAGCAACACCACTTAAAATGAAAGGACAGAATATGTGTTAGTCTGGTTTCTGGAAAACTAAACAGGGTTGGTAACTTTTTTAAAGGGAAAAACTATTAAGTTAAGCTGATAACGAAGGGTGCATTTGTAGCTTTTAATTTCCGGTAGAGGTGAGGATCCTCTCCCTCCATGGCATTTCCTTCAGGCAATTTACACTGGCAGCGCCCCCCATGGACACATGCCCATAGTGGCCAAGGTACAAATCATCAGCTGGTGAAACTAGATTTCAGCATTGGCAGAGTCAAAATCAGGACCCTTCAGCCAGAGTGAGGCAGCGGCCTCAGGCAGTAGGTTTGCAGTGCCATGAACAAGCAGGACATTATCAGTTATTTAATCTGCTGTGGATATAATTTTACTGCCAAGCTGGAAGAGAGGTGCTTGTGGAATTTTCTATCTCAGGTGCTAAAAAACCCAAGGGTCTTCTTTTTTGGCACTCTGTACTTTGAGTGGGGTGGGCACCATTTTGCAGCTTCGCCTCAGGCAGCAGAATCACTTGGGCTGGCCCAGGTCAGAGGCAAATATGGGAAGCAGTTTATAACACTGCAGGATTGTACAACACACTGTTTCTCTCTGTGTGTGCCTTTCTCTTTCACTCTCATCTGTTGTGTGTGCAGGAAATTAGGGCACGAAAGTGGGCTGCGCAGAATGAGAACTGTATAGCCTGCAAGTTTGCCACCCATGATTTATGGGAGCAGATGATCATGGGAGACCATTCTGTGATTCTTCAGCCCATAGAAATTTCCTTTTCAGATGTCCCTCTACAATATTTGCCTTGTGCACAGAAACACTTCTAGGAACAGGGTACTATGAAGACCCAGGCAGACAGCCTGTCTGGTATTGTGGAAAAAGTGTCAGACTAGAAGATCTGGGTTCAAATCTCTGCTCAGTCATGCAAAGCCATTAGGGGGTGCCATGGTAAACCACTTCTTGAATATCTCACATGCCTCAGACATCTCATTAGAGTTACCACAGTAAGGCATCTAACATCAATGGGATACATTCAGACAATGTAGGAGGAGTGATAACAGTAAAGGTTGATGGGGAAACTCATTCAGACAATGTAGGAGGAGTGATAACAACAGTAAAGGTTGATGGGGAAACCGTTTTCCTTTCTCTGAGATTTTAGGGCCAAAACCTAAGATTGGGATGGGCCCTTGCATAATAAGTACAAAGTCATACATGTGTTTATCTACATGCTTAAAATAATAAGATGGAGCATTATTTTACTAAACACATAGGTAAAGGTTCCCCTTGACATTTAGTCCTTTCGCGTCCGACTCTAGGGGGTGGTGCTCATCCCTGTCTCCAAGCCATAGAGCCAGTGTTTGTCCGTAGACAGTTTCCATGGTTACATGGCCAGCACAACTAGACACAGAACGCCGTTACCTTCCCACCATGGTGGTACCTATTTATCTACTTGCATTTACATGCTTTCAAACTGCTACATTGGCAGGAGCTGGGACAAGTGATGGGAGCTCGCTCCATCGCATGGATTTGATCTTACAACAGCTTGTCTTCTGACCTTGCAGCACAGAAGCTTCGGCAGTTTAACCCGCAGCGCCACCATGTCCCAAACACATAGGTGGACAATATCTATATGAATACTTTAATGTTAAGTTAGTGGGAACACACAGACACATGAAGGTAGTTTCTTGGCTTCTTAAGAAACAGATTTGCTGTGAAATAAGCTTTTTGGAATTCATCATGTATTTCATGCAATCTTCCTTGCTATTGTCTTAGGTAGTGCATTCTGTTGAAGATTAATAGACATGTCTCAGTATCATATATAACTCTACTTACAGGCCTGAACAGCAAATCATGTACCAGCAGGCAATACCTAAAGATGGAGCTAACCTGAACTAAGTCATTAGGCTTTAGTGTCACTGACTTTAGTGTCAGGACCTCTTTTGTGACTCCTATAAGATGTGCTGAGACCTGCTGTCTCAGACAACAGAGGGGTGGTGAATTAGGTCCCTATCTTCACTGCTGGCATGCATCCTGCTCTCACCAGCTCAACCAACGCAGCATGACATATGTTCTGGAAGGCGTCACAGTTGCTGTGGCAAATATTCCTGGAGCAACAAAGTCTCTCCCTCTGAGTAGTTCCCCTGAGACTGAGAGGTTGGCCAGGCTGTCTGGAGTAGTCTGTGGCTGAGGCCTCCCGTATGGCCCCCTCTCTCGTTATGCTTTGCTCTGAGGGAAACCATTCAGAATGAGGGTTTGGGGCCTTGGCAGCTGTCAGAAAAGCTTTTGCACCTGCTCTTATTGGGTGGGGGACACAGTAGTGGCAACAGTGGCAGCATCTGTCCCTCAGAGAGACATCTTGTGTTGCTGATACCAATAATAAAAAGCAAATATGATTACTTAAACAAGAGGTTTCAAGGTAGGAGCCACTACATCTTAACAAACCAGGGCTCTAACTCCTGTCATTTCAGAAATTAAACTTTGCTAGAAGAGCAGAGCTGCCTGTCTGTGAAATCTGAGAAATTGGGCTGGGATGGCTCAAAGACAGGGAAATATTGTCAATCTCTTAACATTACCCAACCAAGACTGTCCAGAGGGTTACTATAGTTCCCATCATCCCCAACCAGCAGGACAGCTGGGGTGGATGGGGGTTGTAGTTCAACACCACTGGAGAACATGACAGTGGAGAAGACAGATTCATGCCATCCTGTTCATAGAATCATAGATTTATAGAATAATGAAGTTGGAAAGAGACTATAAGGCCATCAAGGCCAATGTATCAAAGGATATCTGCCAGGTGGTTGTCTAAATTTGTCTTTAATGCTTCCAGAATTGGAGCACTCGCCACTTCTTGAGGTACTTGATTCCATTGCTGTACTGCTCTACAGTCAGGAAATTTTTCCTGACATTCAACTAAAATCTGGCTTCCTGTAACTTTAGCCCATTGTTGCATATCCTGCATTCTGGGATGATCAAGAACAGATCCTGCCTCCCCTCCTGTAACTTTAGCCCATTGTTGCATATCCTGCATTTGTCATATCTCCCCTCAGTCTTCTTTTCTCAAGGCTAAACATTCCCAGTTCTTTCAGTCTTTCCTCATAGGGCTTGGCTTCCAGCCCCCTAATCATACTTGTTGCCCTCCCTGAACTTGTTCCAATCTGTTAGATTCCTTCTTGAAGTTTGGTGTCCAGAATTAGACACAAACTAGATGAGGCCTAATCAATGCCGAATAGAGGGGAACTAGTACCTCTCGAGATTTGGAGGCTATACTTCTGTTAATGCAGCCTAAAATTGCATTTGCCTTTTTTGTAGCCACATCACACTCTTAGCTCATATTCAGCTTGCTATCTACAATGATTCCAAGATCCTTCTCACTTGTAGTATTGCTGAGCCAGATATCCCCCATCTTGTAACTGTGTGTTTGGTTTTATTTTTGCTAGATCCAGTACTTTGCACTTATCCCTGTTTTAAGTTCATTCTGTTGTTTTCAGTCCCGTGCTCAAGCCTATCCAGATCATTTTGAATTTTGTTTCTGTCTTCCAGGGTGTTAGCTAGTTTATCTAATTTTGTGTCATCCACAAATTTGCTTAGAATTCCCTGCACCCCTTGATCCTCAATAATAAAAATGTTGAAGAGCACAGGGCCTAGGACTGAGCCCTGGGGTACTCCACTTATTACCTCCTCCCAGTTTGAAAAGGAGCCATTAATCATCATCCTCTGAGTACGATTCATGACTTATTCCTTTTGCTCTGCCTACCAGTCATGTAGATCTTGAGGAGTTCTTTTATGAAGATGTATCTGCCTGAACTCTTGACAATAAATTTTATTTTTCTTTGTTTCATGCTGTC